TTGAAAGCTGTGCAGGAAGATTTTGCAGAGAGGAAAGAGGCCAAAAAGACAGAAAAGGGAGTACATGGAGGAATAGGAGGAGGAGTGTCAAGTTGGAGGAAACTGTCCTTCAGCACAAGTCAGCTCTTCCCCTGACACTGGAGAGAAATTTACGCTTGATGTTAAATTGTGTGTACTCAGTCATTCAGTCATGTCTGACTCTTTGCAGACTGTAGCCTGCCAGGCTCCTCTGTTCATGGGATTCTTTAGGCAAGAATACTGGTGTGGGTTGCCATGCCCTTCTCCAGGGGATCTTCCTGACCCAGAGATCGAACCCGAGTCTCCCACATTGGCAGGCAATTCTTTACCACTGAGCCACCGGGGAAGCATATGGAGGGGGTTTGGTGGATACACAGTGCAGATACACAAGGCGCAGTGCCCGAAGAGAGGCAGCCAAAGGGCAGAGAAGATTTTCGATATTTAAATTTGTCTTGTCTTGCCATAAACTATGAATTTTATTTCACACAAGCAATTTGATTTTGATTTTGAGCTCATAACACACCTAAGGCATAAGTAGTATAAGGAGCCCCATCCTGTTTTACAGACAACAAAGCTGGAACCCAAAAGGTTGAAGGCTTTAAGATCAAACTACAAGAAAATGGCCAGTCCAGACTTCCTGGGAAGATGCCTTTTCATTAAGCTGCATGGCTTTTCATGATGTTCCTTTGAGTGAGAGCCATTAAAACTTTTTAAATCGAGTTCATCTAAAACAAACTCGAAGTTCATTTGTGGGTGAACATCCCAAAACACATTTGATAAGAAAACTTAAACAATACTCAACTTGAACATTTTAATTCTAGATCTGCATACTCACAGCTTCCCAGGTGACTCAGTGGTAAATAACATCACCTGCCAATGCAGGAGATGCAAGAGATATAGGTCCAATCCCCGAATCAGGAAGATCTCCTGGAAAAGGGCATGGCAACCCACTCCAGTATTCTTGCCTAGGAAATTCCATGGACAGAGTAGCCTGGTGGTTTCCAGTCTATGGGGTCACAAAGAGTCGGACACAACAGAGCACACACTCATGCTGCATACTCACATTTATCTTCGAAATTAAAGGGAGTCTTTTAGAGGTACGGCATTGTAGACAATATCTATGAAATAGTGGGTTCCTTTCTTTCACTGAACAGAGGCTCACTGTGGTGGCTGTAGTGTGGTTCATTAAAAATAGCAGTAGCAGTAATGTTAGTAGTAGTAGTGATTATGATTATAGCTAATACTTTTTTAATGCTTTGGGTATACCAAGCACCACTCTGTTTTCCCTGGATTTTGCAAGTTCATCCTCATATTAATCTTTCAGGGTAATAAATACTGTTAATATACATATTTAATAAAGGGGAAACTGAGGCACAGAGAACGTAATTAATTTTCCCATCTGTCACATCATTAGTAAATGATCAAGTCAGGATTCAAACCCAGCAGACTCATTCTGTTGCCCAAGCTCTTAAATACTCTTTCCCTTCCTCCTTTGTTTTCTCCCGTGTTGGGTCAATATTCCTAAAAAGAGTTCTGACAAAGAAAAAAGAGAAGGTAAACGTTAAAAAATTTGTATACTCAAAATTCTTGAATTCAACTTGTGCCATAATCCATGATCATTTTTTCTGTCTAAAATACTGTGTAAATACAGAGCACATATTGTAGCAGCATCATATGAGGTTTGGATATGAAAATTTCTTTCCTGGTTGGTGACACAGTCTTATAAGAATTGAGCATTTTCTATTCTTCATAGAAAACACACACACACACACACACACACACACACATGCCTTCAAAATCATCTTTTTTTATAGGCTAGTGCTCATAGTAGTTTAAATTTCTTCATACACCATGATCACCACACAATTCCCTGTAGAGTATACCATTGTAAATGGAATTCAGAAGTAAAAAGAATGTGTGTGAATTCCATTGTATTTTTGAATTTACACTTCTTCCGTGGTCTGGCTTTGTCCCAGGACTGAATTTCACAGTAGTAGGCAAAGCTGGTCAAGGTCATTGTTCAGGTTGTGAATGACACTTGGCTAAAGCCCAAGGTGATCAACATATTAATACCTTAGGAGGAAGGGAAACCAGTCTGTTCTGTCTTTAAGGGAGAAAAGGGTGCTGCCTTGAGAACTTTGAGTTTAGATAAGGGCCTAAGCCCTGTCAATGTGAGTCAAGGTCAGTGGGATTTTTTTCTTTTTAATCCTACATCACAGCAAACCCTGAGCAGTACGTGGTGAAGGGCAGCGTTCAGTCAAGATTTCCTTAGGTATAAAAATTTAAATTTCAGTGTGAATACAAATTTGAAGCAAAATATATGGCCTGTGTATTCTTCTCTTTCAAGCATTAAAGCATACCAAAAAACTCTGGTTTGAAGTCAACCCTTACTGTTTTATTACCTTTTCCTATGAAGTCTCTAATTAAATTTTACCCTGCTATGTCCTTCAAGATTCTGGAAAATTCTAGCATACTTTTCAACTTCTATTTTTGGTATTTTTTATGATATGTAGATTCAAACCAAAGAATATATCTCTTATATCTAAACTTTCAAGTAGCAACCCATGAGTGAGAGTTGACTTCCAAGTTTGACTTTCCTAGATAAAATAAATGATTTTAATTATACTTAGTAAAATTGTAATTAGTGTTTTATATTACTAAGTCTCTGGGAGGAGGAAATGCCAGCCCACTCCAGAATTCCTGCCTGAAAGATCCCATGGACAGAGGAGCCTGGTGGGCTACAGTCCAAAGGATTGCAAAGACTTAGACACGACTGAGCAACTAATAAGCATGCACACATTGCTAAATCTCTACAGATGTACTCTGATGTTGGTTCATAATAGATGTTTCTTTAGCATTTGCATTTTTCTTCAGAAGGAATTACTTTACAGAAAGTTAACTAAGTTATCGGTGTCAATTTTGTAGATTCTTATGCTGCCATTTAGAGATTTAATAGATGATTGATAATAAGCTCATCTTTTAAGCTCTGAATACCATCTTCTGTATAAGGGCCAATTTGTCTTTCATATCTTAGTGTACATTACTTTTAACACTGTAGATTAAAAGTGGCTTAAGTGAAGAGGGAAAGGGGAAAAGGTAATTTTGTACCATAGGAAATTTCTAGAAAGGCAAAGTCTTTGGTGTGTGTGTGTTTTACCTCAGAAAGGCTTTCGTTCAGTGTGAGGCTATAAAAGTGGAAAAGGAGTTTATAAGGAGAAGCGGGTGTTACACAAAGTTAAATTTTAATTACTTTGTAGTACAGTGAATATACTCTGTGCCTTTAAAAATTGTCTCTCTTTTTATAGCAAAACAGTGATACTGGCTTTAGTTGGTTGCTGCTAGTTCAGTTATCTGGGTCTATTTGCTGTTTGCAATAAATGCAATTATTTTGTTTGATTCTAGAATAGACTGTTCTAATTAACTGAGAAATGCCAGATTGTATACTGACTATAGAGTTTCAAGGAACAGGAGTCTACTCAAATATACTGAAACTATGCTGAAAGTACTAGCATTTGATTTTTATCATCATAAATCATATTAACATAAAAGAATGCTTATTAAAACAAGAGCAATTACTCTTTTCACAAACAACACTTAGTTTCAATTTTCTCTTTTCCCCTTCCAGTTCATGTCAATGTACTTACAGATTTAAGAAATACAGTGAAGATAGAAATTGTGTTCTGTTTTTGTCCTTAGGATTTCTGTGCACATTTACTGCATATTAGACCATTGGGTTGATGTATTGTCTTATTTTAATGTCCTCTCATTAAACATTGAAATCATTTCTCATTTTTTACTATCTTAGTTAATGAAGATCTTTATTCCTATAATGCATTTCTTTTAAATATTTTACTAGGACAAAATATTAAAATTAGATTATTGAGTCAATGGGAATAAGCATTTGTATTTCACTTGATATATATTGCCAAACTGTCCTAATAGATACCATTCCCAGAAATAGTATATGAATGTGCTAGTTTGGCTACAGTCTTTCCAGCTTTGGATTTTATTTTTTTAAACTTAATTGGTGTCAAATTGTAATACTCTATGTTTTTCATTTATTGGAAAGTTGATTTTTTCTTTTTCTATAAAAATAGCTTTTATTCTTTCTCTTGTTTGAATTTCCTGTTACTGTTCCTTTGTACATTTAACCCACCATGTTGGATTTGGTATAACTGTCTTAGTAATTTAATAATACTATAATGTTTACAAGCCTCTCCCATGCATTTGAAGCAATGTTTAATAGAAATGTGGGGTTAATATGCATCCAAATGAGCCTATCATTGTTTTATTTCTTTCTTTGGTATATGATATTTCAAGTGATAAAATAGTGATACATGCTTTGATAATACTCAATTGTTAAGTGTAATAAAAGAAAACATAGATCATTTGATTTAGAAAAATTTATATATTTAAATTTTTATTCTGATTTTAAAGTAGAATAGTTGTAAGTATTATGAATAAGCCGATCCTTTAAAGAAGTTCAAAACGAAAATAACAGCATTTTTTTTTTTGAAGCTCAATATTTTCTGTATGCAACTTTAGTTGAGTGCCAGTAGATGGCACTAATTACATAAACAATTCAACAAGTTAATGATGGGGCGGGGGGGATACATGTGCTATTTTTTTCTGTTCAAATTTTGGTATATGTCATATATTCAACAATGATTTGGGAGCTTATTTTTATAGTTTGTTCTCTCCCATGATAGAAAGACAATGAAGCCAAGTTTGTTTCCAATTAGTTGCTACTAAATTGAAATACTTGATATTGAGTATTGCTCAAGATGCTACATTTGAAAACTTTTGTCATGAAATGTGGGTTAGCTTATACTGTCAAGATTGACTAAACCACACAGGGTCAGTGAAAAGCAGTCATGCAGACATGCTCTGACCCAAGGATTCAGAAGTTACTTATGAGAAAGTCCAACTAGAGATTTCAGAGAAAAGTGACATTCATTCTCTTTTTCCATGTGCATCTATAGCAGTTGGCCAAAGACCTCCGCCAGTGGCAGATAAATGTAGATGTGGCAAATGACTTGGCACTGAAACTTCTCCGGGATTATTCTGCAGATGATACCCGAAAAGTACACATGATAACAGAGAACATCAATGCCTCTTGGGCAAGCATTCATAAAAGGTATGGACTCCATTATTTCTAAAACTATTTGCTGACTTCCATGATGGTGTGGTGACCCTGGGTGGACAATGCAGATTTGCTTTCCCATCCTGCTAACCTGGGGCTTGCAAGGATCCAAGATGAGAAATGCCAACTAAACTCACATTCTTTCTGAAGTCCTCTTTTTTTTGTTTTAAAGATGAGGACCTGAAGACTGGTGAAATCAAATGACTTGCCCACAGTCAGAAAGGTAGTGACATAGCTGTGCAATTAGACAAACACAAAAGATGGATTTGTAGGTAAATGAGCCATTTATCGGTCTGCTTTGAGAACTCTACCCAAAGAAATATTGTTCTACTCCATCACGATGCATATTGCCCCATCTTTAATCTGACAAGGAAGTCATTTGGGGGCTCATGATGGAGTTACAGCTACTGATGGTGCCATCATTGTATCTCACTCTGCATGCCCAATGTGAAAGTGTGTGCAGTGTAACATGACTCATAATTTCATTTCCCATTATATGCCTAATGGCAATCAATGGCGCTTAGAGACACCATCTCCTCAAACTAGGTCCTCTCTCTTTATTATCCAGTCTTAACCCCTTGGGCTTTTCTTTCATTAGCATTATCCTAATTATATTAATAAAATTATAAACAAAAGCATGAATTATGTAACTAATTGTTAAATTAATTATATTAATAAAATTATAAACAAAAACATGAATTATGTAACTAATTGTTAAATGATTGTCCTTCACATTAGTCTAAACTCCCTAAGAACAAAGGCTATCTTTCTTATTTGACATATCCTAAACCAGGTGATCTAGTAGGGAGCTGGTAAACATTTGTGTTTTTCTAACTGAACTGTAGCTGATGTACAGTATTATATTAGTTTCTGATAAACTACCTAGTAATGTGACATTTGTACATATTATGAAATGATCATTATGATAAGCCTAGTAACCATCTGTCCCCATACAAAGTTATTACAATGTTATTGACCATATTCCTTGTACTGTATGTTATGTCCCTGTTGCTTATTTATTTTATAACTGGAGATTTATACCTCTTAATCCCCTGCACCTATTTCACCCCTTTACCTTCTCTTCCCTTCTGGCAACCACCCATTTGTTCTCTGGCTATATGAGTCTGTTTTCATTATGTTTTGTCTGTTTTTGTTTTGTTTTAGATTCCACATATGAGATCATAGAGTATTTGTCTTTGTCTAACTTATTCACTTAGCATGATGCCCTCTAGATACATCCATGTTGTCACAAATGGCAAGATTCTGCTATTGATAGCTGAGTAATTTTTCAACCTAGACAGCATATTAAAAAGCAGAGACATTACTTTGCCAACAAAGGTTCATCTAGTCAAAGCTATGGTTTTTCCAGTGGTCATGTATGGATGTGAGAGTTGGACCATAAGGAAAGCTGAGCACTAAAGAATTGATGCTTTTGAACTGTGGTGTTGGAGAAGACTCTTGAGAGTCCCTTGGACTGCAAGGACATCCAACCAGTCCATCCTAAAAGAGATCAGTCCTGGGTGTTCATTGGAAGGACTGATGCTAAAGCTGAAACTCCAATACTTTGCCCACCTAATGCGAAGAACCGACTCATTTGAAAAGACCCTGATGCTGGGAAAGATTGAAAGTGGGAGGAGAAGGGGATGACAGAGGATGAGATGGTTGGATGGCATCACTGACTCAATGGACATGAGTTTGAGTAAACTCCGGGAGTTGGTGATGGACAGGGAGGCCTGGTGTGCTGCAGTCCATGGGTTCACAAAGAGTCAGACTGAGCGACTGAACTGAACTGAAATTGCATTTTTCACTGACCCAAAAGAATCTGCGATTTGCCAAGAAAATTTAACTCATGCCTCTAAAGTTCTTCCATGTTTCCTTCTCATATACATTCTACAAAAATTCATCCACTAGTGTAGTTTCAGTCTGCTGATGACTATCCATTTATACCATTTGCAGCTGAGAGTCATCTTTCAATTTCAGACCAGCATATCCAATTTACTTCTTTTTATTGTGATGTCCCGTAGGAACTTCGAACTTAATAGCCCCAAAGCTGAACTCATCTTTGTCCTCTTACAACCTCTTTTTCCAGGTGCAACCTGCTTCTCTTCCTGCTTCTCCAGGTCCCAGTGTCAGTGCCATTTCCTCCAGGAAGCCTTCCCTGACTACCAACCCCAAAGCCTATACTCTTTTGGCCCCCTGTTATTGTGCTTATCTCACTACACTGTCCTTAAGTGTATACTGGTCTTAGTTTCTAAGGAGAATGCTTACTCTGTGAGGGTATACACAGTGGCTGTTTATCAACTGTATTACCTAGCACTTAGCTTGACACACAGTATCTCCCCACAAAACATGTTTTGATTAAATAGGGAATTGAACAAACAAAAAAGAAATAACTGTGAATGTTCTGGTGTGCCAGTAACTCAACAAAGAAGAAAAATGTACCTGTTAGGATCACTTTCAGTTTCAAGTAGCAGAAAACCCAAGTTCACTAGCTTACCTGATGGAGGTCTATTTCTGTCACTTAGGAGAAGTTCAGAATTAGGTCTATTTCTGTCACTTAGGAGAAGTTCAGAATTAGGCAGGTGCTGACATGGGCACAGTAGCTCAGCAATGTCAGCCCCAAAGTCTCCTTGCTCTTCTTGGCATTTCGTTCAGAATATATGCATTCCAGCGGGAGGAAGGGGCAGCAGAAGGGGCACTGCTGGTGTCGAGAAAGCACAGCTTTCCCAGGAACTTTTGAGTTAGAACTATGCCACCAAACCACCTCCGGTATCTAGGAACTGGGGTTGAGCCAGCCAATAGGGAATGTCTGCCATGAAGGGTATGAAAGGAAGAAACTGATCCACTGTCATGGTGAAGCTGGGCAGCATGAAACTCCCTGGAGAGACCACCAGTCAAATCCGAGCAAATACAGTACATTCATGTAGGTCATATGTTCATGCACAATGCATGCTTGTAGGATTGTCATAGCAGTGGCCTATTTGGGTTTGGTGTTGGTTCTGGTCAGTGTGAAAGGGCACGAGAAGAGCTGGATTCTCTATTGGCTAATGATACCTTTACATGGGAAGCTCACATTCTGTGTACACTGTATGTATCACCGGCACAGATTAAACTATATTTTACCCGACTCCATCTTCTTATATCTTATACCCTTATAGATTGTATGCTAGATAGTTGAAGAACAAGAAAACTCTTTAAGGGATTTTTTGCATTTTGACCTTTTTTATCCAGTATCTCACCCAGCTAAACCCAGAAGTGAAGGAACATCACCAGCATCCCCTAGATTGGTGATGTTCAGTAGGGTAGCCACTAGCCATAGGTGGCCATTTAAGTTCAAATGATTACAATTAAATAAAATTAGAAATTCATTTCTTCCAGCTCATCAGCCACCTTTCATGTGCTCAGGAGCCACCAGTAGTGAGTGGCTTCCCCATTGAACAGTGCAAAATTGAACATTTCCATCATCACAGAAAGTTTTATTGACTGTCCGGCTTTAAATCATCTTTGTTTCCATTTCCCCTATGCAGTTTAGCACATATATATAACAACTGCATACCATATTACTTCAAAAAAAGTTTTTGGCATGTTTTGTAAATGAAAAGTATTTCCTTTCAAAGTGGTTCATGTTATTCCATTTCCTTGCTTGTACCTTCTCCTTCTGTTTGTCCATTTTCTAGGGTTGATGTTTAACATCTCAAAAACTACAACTCTCCCAGAATATAAACAGTTTGACTTTTGCTGTTAATCCGATAAACATAATTTTAAAGGAAAAATTATTGATATTTGGGTTTAGGGGAAAAAGTATGTCATGACTTTGAAAAATATCTGTAACCAAGACTTCTTAGGTAGGAGAAATGTGTTGAAAACATCCTGATTACATCATTTCCCATGGTTCCAGTTTTACCACTGAACACTGATACGTTGCCTGCACTGAAAATTTCCATCATATAGATAAATATATGCAAAAACTTTGTTAATTTGTAAGCCTATGTAAAGCAATAAAATCTTTACAACATTTAAAATTTTTGAATGTTAAATAAGGTACAAAAAGGTATAACTCAGAAGAACTTTACTTTGGTATCATATACTGGCAAGCTATAGTTCCAGACATAATCAAAAGCAAAAACAAGAAAATTTTGTTTTGTAGTTTAGTGTTCAATTTAAGTTTATTAATTGGTCAGAGGAATCCTCAAATTCTATACTGACTTTGATGGGACCTTTAATTATGATTTTATATAGAGAAGTACAAATAGCCACATGGACCTAAAATGACTTAATCTAGCATTCATGAATAGTTTTTAAAAAGCTGCTTCTCATGTAAATCCTGTACTTTAGCAATTCATAACAGAACATAGATCATCATTGTGACATGTGTAGGAAAATATTTTGTTTCCCTGATCGTATGCCGTATAGAGTCCATGTTAACGTATAAAGCCAGAAATATGGGCTTTTGCGAGTTCATTTCTTTCCCTTCAGTCTCTGTGAATAGATATGAATTGGTGAATAAGATAATATTAGATGTAATATTGCATATTATTATGAGAATCCTCTAAGGATTAGATTTCAAGGACTGCCATCTGGCTGATGACTTTATGATGACACTGTCATGAGATTTCATTTCCTTATTTCTATTCCAGGATCACTCTTTAAACAAGAAATGAGCATTAACTCTGAATTGTCTGTCTGCAGCTATAGGAGGACTTCTCCAGCTACCAATCAGCAAGGAGCAAACTCATCAAGTAGAGGGGCTGGTACTAATACCAGCAGGTTCAGCATGACTGGCAGTCCTTCACAAAAGCTCCCAGATACCTGAGAAATCTCTCTAGGTTCTAAGAAAGATTTAACATGTATTTGTGTGCATGTATAAGTATGTATATGCTTATTCATGAATATATATGCACATATACTATACCTAAAATAGTATCTCAGTATTCTCCTGTCCACTTTAATAACATGCTTCAAATGTTAATAATCACAATTAAAAGTTGGGAAGC